ATTAAAACAATTGTGATTTTCGTTTAATCCTGTCTTTTCTCAGTCGGAAAATATATACTATATATTCACAAATTATTGCGAGGTTTTTATCAATGCGATGCGCCTGGATGAGTATCGCAATACTAAAAACTTGCTTTCTGAAATCAATACATGTATATTTAGGCAAAATATCCTGAAATCGCAATAGCTAATTTCGCATTTTGGACGATTCTTCGAAATTCGCAATAATAAATGCACGCAATCATATCTGAATTTAGGGTAATTGTACTTATTCTAATAGCATTGGAAGTCGAATCCGTTGATTGAAGTAGTATTGCTCTGCTGTTATCTCCAAAAATCAGTCACATGGTCACTTCTACTCTGTTACGCATCTCTTGACTTATCTTATGATTTAAACGCGTGCAAAAATATATAAAGCAGCTCGATTTTTCATACTAAGTAAAGAGATCTCTCAGTTTTTTTTTCGATTTACGCCGGATATAGTTTAAGACTGCGTTTTCCTGCTTTTATGACGGTGTTGTACGAAATCTGTTTTGAAATACAACCGATGATATTACAGTGTAAGATGGTAAGATATCGTATCGGCAGGTTTCACACTTTGCATTTACTAAATGCGGGTTTTCGGTGGTAAGTATAATTGTGTGTGTGCGTTTGTTTGCATTTAGTAATCATACCTGTATAAAAGAGTAAATTTCTGTCTCTGTACAAACTTACTGTACGCTCTATTATATATGTTACACTCCTTTTATTCCAATGATCTAATTTAAAGACTGAAAGCTGGGATCTCAACAACTAGTTGAAACCATTCATTAACTGATTTTTTAAGTAGACTTCTGAGGTTATATATCATGTATATCAATGACGTTTTATTCACATGAGAAATTTGATGTAGACAACAGATCTCTGATGTATATTAATTTTATTCAAAATTCTGTTAAATTAAGGTCGATTTAGAACTGTACAAGACATTAACAGAGAGGCGAGCGAAAGACACCAGAGGGACATTCCAACTCATAAGTCGAAAAAAACTGACAACGCCATGGCTAAAAAAGAAAAAGACCAATTAACAAAAAATAGTACACAACATAGAAAACTAAAGACTGAGCAACACGAACCCCACCAAAGATCTCAGGTGCTCCGGAAGGGTAAGCAGATCCTGCTCCACATGTGGCACCCGTCGTGTTGCTCATGTTAGTACAAACCCGGTTATAAACTATTAATATATTGACATATCTCTTAGTGAATATACGTTGATGAGACAGCAACCCAACAAAATAAGACATTAAGAGTTTAGCATACGGTCTTCAACAACAGAATAGTGCTGTACTAAACCATTTTTATAGGCACTTTTAGTGTTTAAGAACACATATTGACATTTAGATATCTTTTGGCCTTTTTTGTGTGTTTTTTTTTTATTGACTAGAGCCTACAGCTTTATTCTATTCATAAAACAACTAGAAGATACATGTCAAAACAAAGCATAACACAACACAAAAAAACTCGACAGCGAAATTTAAAAGCAAAATTGTACATATGCGATATTTACAATCAAATGTATTATTGCATTCTTTATATATAAGGTAGTATATATACAACGGTGAATTGCTTATACGTTAAGGTTGTAGTTAGGTAAAATTTTAAAAAATCTAGAATTTTAAAAAAAAGTCAGAAGAGCATTAGTAAAAGAACAACATAAACTAAAAATATTGACAGGTTAAGGAACTCCTTTTTGCAATATTTGATTTTTAAAAAATGAAGGGAAAAGGCTGACTCGGACTTTTACCTTATATTTAGCATTGGCATTATTTGGGTCTCAAATCGTAAGAAAAAACTCTAGAATCTGCTTAAACTTTGGTAACGACCTTTTATGAGCTATTGAAGTCTTCTACGAAAAGAAAAGTGGGTGATAAGGGGCAAACTATTTCACCCTGTATCGTAGGAAACAACTCAAGAAGTCCGAAATCTGACAAAATTCATAAACCTGTCCTAAGTACAGCATTAAATATTCCTTAATATTATGGAAATTTGTAGCTTTCTGGTCTTATTCATTTACTAGTAAGCGTTTTATCACTACAGTATCAGTTATCTTTATACAAGCGTAGAAACATTGGACTGATTCCTCGATTAACCAAAGGCCGTCCTTTAATAGGCAATTTGATAAATTTGGGTTAACCACAATTATTCGAGAAAAAATTTGAAAATTAGATTAATGATTTTTTTTAAGGGCACGCAATTTTCAAAATTGAATTAACAAAAACATTGAGAATCTGAACTACTAAGTCACACGTGTTACTTATGGTAGAACAATTGTTGTGAGAAGGACTTTAATTAATTTATGGTACATATATATATATATATTCTTACAAACAAACATGAATCAAGGCTGACAAGTCTTGCATATATGAGGATGCATCGTACAAGTGTTTTGCTCCTAGCGTATTTGATGTATTTGATGTTGTAGGCTTGTCAATGGCTTCTCGTGCCAATGATTCGAATGTGTTCTTCGAAGAAGGGATTGCAAATGTTTCCATCTCCTTGTATAGCAAACTAGACAGATCTGGGAATGAATTCAATTCGCCATACAGTATCACGTCAGCATTGTTACTCCTCTTGCTTGGAACTGGCAAAACGACTAAAATTCAGATGAAGTCGGTAAGTTTTGAATATAAAGGACCAGATGATATTAACAAGGGATTTAAACTTCTTAATGATGAACTTTTATCGAGAACAACATCGGGAGTTACCGTATCTATTGCAAACAGGTTATACGGCAGTAAGCGTCTCATTCTTTTGAACTCTTTTTCTACAAAGGCATCTACATACTATGGTAGTGATGTTGAACTTTTAGATTTTGTATCGGAGGTGGAAAAATCACGATTGACAATAAATGACTAGATTTCTACAAATACAAATAATCGAATAAAAGATTCCGAGAAATGTTCTTATGTTCTATTAATAATAGCAAATGCTATTTACTTTAAAGGCACAATGGAAAAATATTTTTAACACAAATGACACTTCACAAAGAAACTTTTTCGTGAGAGCGAACGAGCAAAAACTAGTTCAAACGATGTATGGTGAGTTTGATGCAAAGTCTTGTGAAGACCTTATACTTGACTGCAAGGTTTTACAACTGCCATATCAAGGAAACAATATCTCTTTGTTTTGCCAAATTCTGGTGATGAACTCTCCGAACTAGTAAGAAAACTTACCATTGATAATTTCAAAACACTATTAAGCGGTCTGAAGACACAGAAGACAATAGTACGAATTCCAAAATTTACAATGACAAGCAAGAACGATTTAAAGCCAATTTATACATCGTTTGGAATAACGGAAATCTTCGACGTAAACATTGCAGACTTTAGTGAAATGTTCAAATTTGATGTTACACGCGTGTGCGTGACTGATGTACGTCATAAAGCTTATATGGAAGCGAACGAAGAAGGAAGCGAAACTTCAGTCGCTACTACATTAACTATTGCATTAACTTCGGTAAGGGTTCCTGAACCCAAGCCATTTCAATTTGTGGCAGATCGTCCTTTCATGTTTGTGATTCCGGATGACAAAACAGGAGCACCGCTGTTCATTGGAAGATATGCCAGACCATAGTGTAACAGTAACATAGTTTTGAATGAAAAGAATAAAATGCATTTATGTCGTTTATAAAAACAAGTGTGAAATGATTTTAATAAAAGAATCATGTTGTAATCAATAGAGTTACTTCACGCAAAGTTTGTCAAGAAATTGTATACATATCTTTTTTTTATACACACATTGTGTACATAAGGTTTTCATACCTGTCAGTCTTGATAACCACTTAGGTTTCTTGAAATGCTATCCATTTTAAAAATTCAAATCATGTGGGATTCTTTGTTATATTATATTAGTAAATAAACACCTCATTTAAGTTAGTTTGCATATTATGTGTCGCCTTTCAAAGCCTTTACAAAAAAATAAATGTTGTGCATTTATACTTGCTTTTCGCTGATAGAGGCTCGTCCATCTCTAGGAAGTCAGCTCTACGACATCCTTTTTGGAATACCCTACAATGAATAATGATGGCCATGTGTCCACATAGTAGGACAATCTTAGATTCTTTTTCGAATATAATAATATCGAGGGAGACAAGCAATATCTGACGAAAAATTGAACTACAATAGATAGGAACACGCAGTGACAGCATGAATAATAGAACAAACAGCTTGCAGCAATGGCATTTGAGGACAAGGAGGACGTAATTGTCCTTGATGCTTACAAGTGCCGAGAGTAGCACAGTGAAATATTTGTTAGCGAGAATATACCAAAATCTTACATATTTTTTATTAAAAGGGGCGTATTCACTCTACGTCCCAACCTCCTGATTCTAACACTGATGTTTGAAATCATGTTGCGTTTTAATCCTCTCCATCTCTATCACTAACCCGTAAACAAACAGGAGTTACAAACACAGCTAGCAGATCGGAGTTATCGCGACCAAAAAACATTTTTAATTAAATCTTACTATACATTAATAAATGAGTTTTAGTCTTTAAAAGACAATTTGGAATTTCGTAAGCAGACGAAGTGTGCGAAATGGAATTCTAATTTTATGAATAACCGAAACAAGATATGAAAGTGTTATCTCTGGTTGCGCACGCAGCCTGGCTAGCCAATCCCTACGATAATGCATGTTCCACATGCGTTTCCTCATTCTCTTACTGAAGAGCGTCGAGTAAAGAAAAAACAGAATTTGATTGAAAAATCAAACCATAAGCTTAACAAAATCAATAGGAATAAACTTCAGGAAACGACTGAAAATACAACCCCATTAAAGAACACATGTCTTTTTGGTCTAATTTATATTATACCACATTTTCAATTATGTACTTTTGTTGATTTTATAAACCTGTTAACATTGTGTATTTCTTTTGTTTATTTTATAAACCTGTTAACATTGTGTATTTCTTTTGTTTTTTTTGTGTTATCTATTTTAGAACATTAAAACAAAAATACTCTAAACAAATTAAAACATTTAATATCATTTATTATAATCCTGGTCCAATCTTGGTCATCATTTTTACTCTTGTCTAAGAAATACTTCTTGGACTGTTCAGAATTCATCCCTGTTCTCTGGTTCTACTTCCCAGACCTGCAAAATACAAATATATATTTGTGAAAAGTGAATACTGAGTATATCCAGTAAATAAAATAGAATAAACCATAAAATTGAATGTGAATAAAGGCGAAGGAAGGAGGGAACACTTTCATATCTTGTTTCGGTTATTCATAAAATTAGAATTCCATTTCGCACACTTCGTGTGCTTATAAAATTCCAAATTTCATATCATAACCTCAACAAGATAATCCAATGTTAGTTTAAAGCTTACCTAGTAAGTACTGCTTGTTGAAAATTATTGGATACTATCGGTTTACAGTAGATCTATTACATCTTGTGTTGATAATTCAACGCGTTTTGCCTTTGAAGTAGAGGATGAACGTGTTGAATGACCAGTAAAAAGGGACGAGAAACCATATTTGTTTATTGTCTCTTTTAACCACCTTGCAACTGATAAAGGAACTATATGATGATGAGGTTTCACAACACTTAAAAGGAGCAATGATCTATCAATATTATCTCCTTGTTTTCTCCATTATTGTGTGCTAGACAAATAGTCATTAATGCAAGTAACAACACATAAACTCCTTTCAGTAGGGAAAAAGTTGAAAGCTATTGATTTAGTTTAAGAACTAGGACGACAAGTTTTGGTTAGTTTTGGTAACTCAAACAATGTTTGTAAACCTTGTTGTTTAATATATTTACAATTTAACATGCCTATTTCAGATGCTCTACCTGCTGAAGATAGAGCCAACAACGTCATATTTTTGACGTTGGTGTCCTCTCATTAAAAATGGCTCTCATATGTCTAATTATAAGATGATGTTTACCTACTTGTAAACTATCAATTAATAGATGGTTCTTTGAAATTGCAGACCTATAAGTATTTATTGTTCTATATTGTAAACCATTTTTGAACAATGTTGTGAGAAATTCAATTACAGTGGCCAAAGTGGCCTGAAAAAGATTAACTGATTGTTCACTACACCAGCTGACCCATTTTCCCCAGGAGCTCTTGTAAGAAAGATGGATTCCTGGTCTCAATGTTTTTTCATGCAACTTTGCAGCTGCTTTTGGTAGTCCCTCTGTAGGACTTCGTCCCCTGAAATTGTCCATGCCGCAAGATTGACATACCTTGTTTGAGTCAGTGGGTGTGGTTCCCCCTGGGGTGACATCAAAAGATTTGGAAATTTTGGTATTTTTATTGGATCTTGTATTAACATTTCCAATAACATTGGACACCATGGTTGTGCTTGCCATGCAGGGGCTATTACTAATAATGTTGCCTTGTTCTTCCTGGCTTTGGAAAGACAGTGAGGAGTATGTCGTCTAGATATATGATCATACGAACACCCATCCTTTGCAATATACCTACTACTGGTTTCATTATTTTGGTCAATCTTGGACCCTCTGCTAGCCCGAAGGGTAGAGCTGTGTACTCGAACAGGGTTCCTTCCCATTTGAACCTCAGAAATGTATTTTGACTGATTGACAGAAATGAATATGCCTCCTTTTGGTCTATTTTTAGCATGTAATCGCCCAGTTTTAGCAGGTCTTTGATCATGAACAAGCTTTCCATTTGAAACGTTGGTACATTACATTTTGGTTTAATTGTTTTAAGTTTAATACTTGTATTTGATCTCCATCTTTTTTGGGTACTAAGAACCAATTGCTTAGGAATTGATCCCTGCATGGTTTTACTGGTACAATGACTCTTTTTGTCAACATTTCTCTGACCTCTGTTGACATCTTGTGTTTTTCTTTTTGATTGAGTACTGTCATTCATGGATCTTTCAGTTGTATCGGACGTGACTGAAAACATTTTGGATATCTTTTTATATCTTTTAGTCTGAGCTGATTATTTCCCAGTTCTTTACAAAATGTTTTAACCGTCCTGCTATAGGAAAGTGTTTTGATAATGTCACTAGGTTTAGTGAATGACTCGGATGCCTTGACTTTTTCTTGATAAGATTCCTTTTGTTCCCATTGTTGTCTTTGTTGCACCTGACGAGGTGTGTCTTAGTTGACCACCTTCTTCTTGTGACTTTTTTCTTTCCTCCACCGAGAGCTAATGCCATTTCGGAAACTTCTTTCTTTATTTTGCTCCATTCCTTCAGCTCTTCCTTGAACCCACTTCCAAACAGATGCTTGTCATTTTACGCTAAACATTCCTGTTTGTCTTTTAGTAGTGACATAGCCTTCTTTGAATCTTGATTGTTTATTCTTTGAAGGATTGACAAATGTCGCTGATAATTAATTGCAACATTAGATTGTCCTATTAAACAAATTGTTTTCTCTAACAGATCAAGAATATGACGGAAGTCAACATTGTCAACAATCGCCTGCGCAATAGAATCGTAACACCCCTTATCGATTTTTAATCGAATATCTTTAAATAACATCCATAAATTGCCAAGAGGCCCCATGGTATCTATAACCTTTGTCTGAATACTGACGAAAGCTTTATCCAAAGGATCAATAGATCTGATGGCAAAGCCGTCGATGATGGGACGGACATCGTGTTCAAAATGAATCCCTGAACTTTGTGGGATGGAATAAATCTATTAAAATTGTCATCAAGTTATAATTCCATATCTTTAGAAAACTGAGGTCTTGTTTTTTCCTTCTTGTGAGGATAAAAACGATGATAACTCTTGTTGCCGTTTTGTCGCTGTATGTTAAATTAGATACAATTTCACTAATAACGGACCTTACCTCTTTGTCCGACTCAGAGTCAGAAGAAAGGTCATCCTTCTTTAAGGATTTTTTTTTGCTGCCATACTTTGCGGCTTTAGACTTTTTCCGTTTTTGGAAATAGTCATTGCTTCTCCGACTCAGAAGAATCAATCAGAAGGAAAATCCCGATTGACATACTTTGGCCTTTTCCTTTTCTTCTTGTGTTTTTCAGTCAAACTATTGTCACTTTGGACATTTGACTGAGATCCACGTGCTTCTTCAATGTCAACCGCGTGGTTAACATAGAGTTCATCGTCTCAATCGCCAGACGCACTATTGTCCTGTAATGAAACCTCGTCATCTTTTGAATTACTCATGACGACATTTCAATGTAAAATCCAAAAAAATTGAATAAATCCCCAAAATCCACTTAAGTAAAATAGAAAAAAGTTTGCAGTGAATCTCTTGCAGTTCTTCACTCGACGCTAGCCAGTAAGAGAATGAGGAAACGCATGTGGAACAGGCATTATCTTATGGATTGGCTAGTCAGGCTGCGTGCCAATATAACATTGAAATATCTTGTTGAGGTTATGATGTGAAATTTGATCTTAACAACATTTGAAGAGTCAGACGTTTGGTCAATTTTAAGACATGTAGACAGCGGTAAATTCAGTACTCCTCAGACAAGCGGTTTGCCATCCATTCAGTACTTTTCAAATGAGTCCAGTTACTGAACAACTAATGAACCATCCTAACATAGACAGCACAGATCTTAAATTGAATGCAATGAAATTGTCTTAGCAGTAGTGAATTTACTGCAGTGGATCAATCTGTAAAATTGACTACTATTTGAGAACAATTTAGATCAAAGTTACCGTTTCATATTAAATTTGGTTTACTAGTGGCTTAATAATACCATTTACAAAAACGTTTCCACACCTTCACATGAATAATGAAAAATATAAGACGTAAACAGATTTAACAATATCAATATAACAATAAGCTATGTCAAGATTAGTTTATTTAGCAAACTGAAAAGATACTTTAATAACTTATCTTTCTTAACAACAATAGCAGACAGAAACAAATTGTGTAGTAACTTACTTTTGGTATACCTTATCAAATAGTTGGATAGCTGATGCCGACAAACTTGAGTGTAGTGTTATATTTTACCCAGTTTGTAAGTTGCTGTTGCCATGGTTACGTGAGAATCTTATCAGTGACCAATATTTGCATGTTTCCATATCTTAAAAATAAGGAAACCAACCCAATCAAGTTTAAGTTTGAGTTCACAAACATGTTTAAACCAGCCAAATTTGCCCGTCCAAAACCGTGAGCCTGAAATTAACTTTTTGTCATCAGTTACTGTCTGCAAAATATTTTCAAATACTTTTTTTGTATAAATCGGCCATTGTGTGTTTAACTGATTCACGTTTTGTCATCCCGTGCCCTGTTATAACTTATTATACAGTCGAATTTTAGTTTGAGTTCCCAAACATGTTTAACCCCGCCAAATGTGCCCATCTCACACCATGAGCATAAAATCCTCTTGTCATTAGTTACTGTCTGCCATAGTATATCATTTTCTGTTTTCGTATAAATCGATCGTTATTTCTTTTTTCAAACTGTTTCACATTTGTGTCATCTCATGGCCTTTTCTAGCTTACTTTACGGTCGAGTTTTGTTCATTTCAGGAGACCGTACGGTTACCTGTAGTTGTTTGTACCCTGCTCATTTGTTGTGTAATTGAAATTTGTCTATTTCGCAATTATTACACATCACTAATTTTCATATTAATTATTCTATACGCCTACATAAGTGTCCGTCCACACATGTTTAATTGTTGTGCATGTTCACTTTATTCATAATAGATGATAATTCAGCTTATTTTAATTGTTGCCTGTTTTTCATCAAGAAATAAACCACATCGGTCAACATTGTCAAGGGCCGGTGAAGTTGTAAATAAAAATTGTGATTTCGTACTGGATTTGCGTTATAGGAAATCAGGTCAAGCTCAAATGAACTTTAAAACTATTTTAAATATAAAATACAGATCGTATTCGTGAATCTGGTTTGACCTTTCTTGAAAAGTATAATAAGGATGGAAACAAGGATGCTTTTCGATTTATCCAGTCGTTGATCAATCAGTTAATATAGATTTGTATTGTTAACATTGGAAATTCAATCCGTTGAGTAATGATATGCTGCAATCTCCAAAAACAGTAAGATGGTAAGACATCGCATCGGCGGGTTTAAAATAATGCGAACATTCTTTGCTTTTTGTCCTTGTATTTGCGTTTTTTTTTTTTTTTTGATTTGTTGATTTTTTACTTTAGAGTACCGGCGTAATAAAATAA